AGAGAGAGAGATTCATAGCTGTATTGAAAGGTGGGAGTCAGGTAGAAACAAAGAGCTGCAATGGAGATTTTTTTTTCCACTTTCTTTAAAGCAGTATATTTTTAGCTCAGCCCTACATTCTTGCTTTATTAGGGAGGAGAAATTGGACCATACAGTTTACTGCTCCTAATATGTCAGGTTGTTTTTTAAAAAGTGTCTTGAAACATGCCCCACTTAGCTGGGTGTTTCTCTTTCTACCACCACATATTCCTGCACTATTACTCTCGAGTTTGTATTGGTTAAATGTGAAGATGTTTCAGACCATCAGAATGATGATTGGTGATGACAGGCTCACAAAGTGTAGGGAAAGCATTCAGGACTCAAGTATAATTATCTTTGCCATCTGAGCAGACAGACAACTTGAATGTACTCAAAGTATTTTCCAACTTCCGTGGCAAGGACATGAAACATCATCTATGTAAAGCTTTAGGGCATGTCTGTCCACCAAGCGTAGTTTATTTGTCACCACAGTGCCCTAATAGTTTTTTTTTTTTTTTATCAATGGCACTTTTTAACCCTCTCATAGATCTTTCTGAAAAATGGTTCTTGTCACATTCTTTCATGGCAGAAGTTGAAGGCTGTGTTACTTTTGGAAGCAGTATTATGCTATGGGTCCAGCTTGCTCAGAGGCTGTTTGAAATTCACAATGTGTTGTGTTTCTTTACTGGAATATATGACCTCATGTTCCCATCTTATGGCTATTTTGAGACTGGGGGCTATTTGTGTGGAGTGACAGCATTTGAGTTCTCATCCTTCTGGGGAAAGTAGATATCTACTGGGAAGAAAGAGCAAAAAGGATGATCATATCATGTATGTGATCACCTAAGATAGTCATGTATAAAGCTTCATACATATTTAATATTCTGCTGGAAATGAGCTTCTTTAACACATGCCAACTTATTCCTTTTGCCCTTCCCAGTTCCATCTCTCACAATAATCAGATTCTATGCTAGCTAGTTAAGTGATTTTTGCTTTTTAATGAAAAACAGACTATCCTCCTTGTTAACTGACGGTGGAATGTGACAAAGATGGCCCATCTGGCATGGCTACACTCAGTCTAATCCAGCTCCCATGTCTGGTATTGTTTAATGAGTACATATGTGTGTTTTTCTCAGATGGCGAAGTCTATTTCTATGCATACTGTTCTGGCTCAGACTAAGTTAAGACTGATCTGTAAGCTTACAGAAGCTTGAGAAAGGCCATACTTTTGGAGGGATAGTAATGAAGACAGATAAATGACTCAGAATCCAGTGTTTCTCAACCGCCTTTCATCCACAATATAGCTATTGTGCAATCAGTAATTTACTCTTCAAAAAACTTTGTTTGAAAAGTTAACTATGATGAGGAAAGCATGAGTTAGTGCTTACATTTTAACTTTAAAAAATAGAGCCCCACACTTCCTTTAGTCTTCCCTCAAATAAAAACAATTATTAACAAGGAAATCATTGACTTGCACTGTGTTAGTTTGAAGCAATCAGGTATTTCCATTCACTATCTCTATCAAAAGTTAACTTCCGATTACCGGTACAAGAAGTTTGTATTTCAGGTAGAAAAATCTGAATTTACATATGTCTACACAATGGCACACCAAGAAAATATTTCATTAACCAAGTCACAAGTTCCCTTTTGAGTGATGGTGCTTTACACTGTTCATTCCCCATGGTCTAATTCAGCTGGGAAATTTCAGCACCTCTCAGAAGCTGTGGTGTCAACCTTATTCTGGGGAGAGTAGAAGTTTAGTCCTAGTTTTGGAGAAAATTCAGCACAAAATACCAGTAGTAAATACAAGTTTTCTTTTTACTGTTCAATTAATTTTTGCAACAAATTTATTTTTCATAAGAAGAAAAAGTAAGTCTGCTTCTTAGGAAAGTCTCAAGCATTGTCCACACTGGAATATCTAAACAGACTGTTTAGTCAAATGGAAATTTTAATGTTTTTCACTTGCCAAAGTGGCCATTTCAGTAACTGAACCTGTATTCCTTGGCATCCTACAGACACTGCGCATGTCGATAACTATGACCATCAGACTCAGGGATTAGATGAGTTACTGATAAATTCCTGGAGGTGTGTTTGTGTTGAAAGGGAAGGAGGGAAAAGGAGAGAGAGGGGGCCATGGGTGGAGGGCAGATGGGGGAGGGAGAGGTACAGGGAGGAAGAAGAGAGGAAGGAAGAGAGAGGAGGAGGGAGAGAGTGGGAGAGGGTGGGAGACTTCCAAGGCTATTTCATTGCAATTGAGCTCAATCCCTTCTGTGTTCCTTGTAAATGCAACTCCCGTTCACCAAGCAACTGACTTGCCTTCAGAATATCGCCTGCTAATCCCTAAGATGCTCAAGGCACCTCATTTTCTGGCAATTCTACTGTCCTGCTAAAAATATTAACCTTTCCCTAGGTTCTATGGCTCAGCATAATGTCATCTTTGTGAGTTATTCAGGACATTAAGATACATTTTTTCTTTGTTTACACACAGACTTCTTTTTGCTATCTATTTAGGAATAAGTTGTGTAGCCAATAATACCTCCCCTTATAATTTTTTGGGGTCCCGAGAATCTCCCATAGTGCTTCCTGAGAACATTCTTGCAGGGTTGTGTTGGCAGAGCAGCATTCAGGATAGATGCCCTCATAAATGACATACCTCAGACTCCCTCCCTTCCCCACTCCTTCCTACCTTCTTATCCCTCCTTTCTTCTTTCTCCTTCATTCTCTTCTTCCTCTATTCTAACATGGCCTTGATCTTTAATATACCTGGTAAAAGACAATGCAGTTGAATGGGTGTGGAGTCACTCATGTCACTGCCACATGTGGGAAACAACAATTTCCTTAGTAACAGCCTCATCAGATCAGCTCATGAGCTACCGCAGCAGCCATTCCAGCATCCAGTGAGACAGCTAAGCATGTGAACTAACTCCCAGAGGGGTCTGTCTTCATACTTGTCTCTTCCCAGCCTTAATCAGTGGCTGAGGGATGACAGAGGTCCAGGGAAGCATGTTCATCTTTAGGATGCTGAGATATCCTTGAGGGGTTGCAAACACAAGCAATATAGAAATTCATATTAGGACAGCAATAGAAGGAAGTCTTCATGAATCTGTAATAAGATTTATGACTTCATATCTGACGTGGTAGTGAAGCCATAAGAGAGCACAGAGTTGTGCTATTTTTCTCTCAAACTTGGAGTGAAAAGTCCTTCCTCTGAAAGGTCCCCAAACACAAGTTGGCTTGAGAATGTATGAATTTTCTGGCACTTTCCTTTGCATGCAACAGAATCTACAGCAAAGTTGGTTGTAGGAAGTAGAAGCTGGCAGTGAACCATACATGTAATCTGACAGAGGATCTGCAGAGTGAATAGACCACTTCTGTATTCTTTTTCATGGAAATGTGCAAAGCCAGCTTTAGTAATTTCAGAGAACTTTCTTGATCATTTCAAAATCACCACCAGGGCCACCAAGTGGCATAATTCCAGGGAAAGTAGACCAAAGTGAATGGTATCGCTGGAACTGCACAAGGCAACTGTCTTATGTGACAGTGTGACAATAGACCTCTATATTTTTTAGACCTCTATTTTTAAAAAGCTTGATAATCAATCATGTTCAAAGAAGATTGGTAGGGAGGAGGCATGAGTTATGTGAGGTGGAGAGATGTGGGAACACGTGAAATTAGTTTTACATCTTCTAAGACACTTTCTAAAAATAAAAGAACTTCTTAGGGCTTTGAAAGCAAAATTAGGTTAAAAATATGCAGTATTCTTTTTCACTAACTAATTGAACTAACATTTTCTGGTTAGAAAGGAAGAAAGAGGACTGTATGTTCAAATAAGAGAAGGTGAAGGGTATCCTTGGTGGATGGGTAGATTCGGTATAGTGGTACTGTACGGACATGAAAGGAACTTGTACCCCTTACAGATTCTTATTTGAATAAATGACCTCAGCGTGGTCTGCAACTCTAATAAAACTCACTTCTTTCTAATCAATATAATCATCCAAAAAATGTCTCATGCATTTTTGGTAGGGGTGTGTGTGTGTATGTGTGTGTGTGTTTGACTTGTTCCACACAATGCATCACTTGGCAAGCAATCAGTACAGTGATACCTGCACTGGTAAATTTAATTCACCTCACAGTTCTGGGGAAGACAGCTGCTGTCCTGTTCTCTACCTGATAGACAGCTTGAGAATGGAAGCTAATTTGTGCCCAATACCTCTCTTCGTGAACCAAATTGTTTCCAAACAGAAGTGTTTCTGAACCAATATGTGTATTTCTATATTGTTTAAGAAATGTTGGAAAGTATTTATTGAAAAGGAAAATATTGGCCAGGCCAGCTAATTATCTGAGTATCGTTGAACTAGCCGCGCTTTCACTGATGCTGTCATTCTTGCCTTTCTTTTGCAATGTCACTTTGAAAGTATCGATTTCAGATTTTGGTCTGTGATAAAAGAATAAATTTAGATGAAGAAATCAGAATTGTTCCTGGTAACCACATTTATTCACCTTCTAAACGTTTTGATTGACAAATCCATGAGTTATTACCCTTTAATAACAAATAAATTTTTTTCACCCTTTTAACTTGATGGGTAGCAGGTAATTTCCTGTGATACAGTTTCCCTCTGCCTGTGTGCTTGGCTTTGTGGAGAATCTGACTATCCATGTGGCATCGCTTCTACAGGTGCCTGCTGTGACGGAACAAGCACCATCTACAACAACCCATGAAGACTTCGCAGCATGTAGAGCTCTTGTCCATAGTTTCAAAATCTAGGCTTTGTTTTTGTCCTTGCCCAGCTTGGGATTAGCTGTAAAGAACCAAAGTGGGCTCTTTCCACAACCAGCTTTGCTGCAGCTTTTAAGTTTTGGCTTTGTTGGAAGATTATAGTGATTTAGATAGGAAAAGAAATATCTGGGGAAAGTATTGGCTAGGGCTCATCTACTGCATAGGTCTCTGGACAATCCACTAATGATTTCTCTGAATATTCTTTACCAGCATAAAAATTATTGTTTCTATGGAGTTAAATTCCATATAAAAGTTTCCTCATGCTCCCCATTTTCTTTTTGCCAATATTTAATTTTTTAGTGAAGATTCAATGATATTCATTTGAAAAAGCCTTATGTTATAATACTCTGGGAAAACACGCTATGTAATCAGATTGGGAGGGACTCACGGGTGACCTAAAGGGAGCCATACAGCGTAAGTGCAATGAGCCAACATTGTCAGGAAAACCGAGGTTCAAACTGGAATCAGGAAACCTGGGTTCTGAGTTTCCCTGTCTCTTTCACCTTGGCCACGTCACTTATGTTCATGTCTTCTGAAAAGAGCGAATTAACTGTGCAATCTCCAAAGAGGAATTCATTTGTGTGAATTTGTAGACACACAGTTCCCACCCTCTGTGGAAGGTTGCTGAGGAGGCTGAAGATAGCAGGCGGATCAGTGCTGCTTCGCTGACAACGTCATCTCCCCCCACTGCACCACGATGGGCGCATCTGTCCTTATTTTGCAATCCATATTCACTTTGTAAAAAGCTCGGTAGAAACAAACCTAGCATTGGCAGTGGGTACTTGTGAAGCCTAAAATCTACTATTCCAATAAATAAAAACAGTCCCCTCCCCCCGTTAAGCATCAATCCAATTTTTCCTTTTTCTACTAGGAGGAAGAGATTTTCAGGATATCGAAAGTAAATTTTCCCTAAGGACCCCTGAGGACACAGTTGAGGACACTTGCCATCTCATTCCTGGAGTGACCGAATCAGTGGCTAACTGCCACTTCAATCACAGCAGCAAAACCTTCGTAGTGATCCATGGCTGGACGGTACGTTGGCTTCACAGGAAGGCACGGATGGGGGTCCACCAGGCCCTAACGGCTGGGGACCCAGTAGTGGATCTACCACCCATATTACTATCTGCTGTCTGATGGCTTTGTGTGACGTATAAGCAAAGACAGTTGAGGGCCAGGGTGGAATCTACTATTGCAGGTTCCTAAATACCTCCTTAGGACAATGCCTACAGTTCTTTCAATGCATCAGCCTTCCTGTGAATTGAGAAAGGAGGCCCTGCTTTGCTGCAGAGCAAAAACATAGGGTGTGGTTTGGGAAGTGGGTGGAAGATGGTGTGGCCCTGATTCACCTAGCACAGAGTCAAAAATCCTTTCCTGAAGAAGGTCACCTGGGAGAGTATGTAGAGGCCAGAGCAGGGGAAGGAGCGTGAGCTTTGGTGCTGCTTGGCTGTTCTCCAGTTCTGGGACAACTCCAATTCCCTCCTCATCTGTGAGTCTCAGCTTACTGACCTATCACCCAGAAAGCTTGGACTAGATGTCCCTAAGGCCCCTTCACTTCTAGTGGTCTCCAGTTTAAACTTTAGGGAAGAAAGAGGGACAGCCAGGGAGCTGTCATGCAAGGTATTTGGAACGTGAAAACTGTGGCTAAATATACTCGTTTAAAATATGTGTAAGGTACTCTTCTCTCGGTATGCCAAAGTCACTTTATATGATTTCGTTCTTGGTTAAAGAGTTTAGTTGGCTTTTAAACCTTTTAATCCCTAGGAAGCAGATTGATTGTTTATATAAAAGGGTTTATAGCCAGGTTTGGTGGTGCACATCTATAATCACAGCTACTCAGGAGGTTGAGGTAGGAGGTTCATAAGTGTGAGGTCAACCTGGGCAGATTGGCAAGGTCTTGTGTCAAAAGTAAACTTTAATAAAAGAACTAGGGGTGTAGCTCAGGGGCAGAACATTTGCTGAGCATGCACAAGGCTTTAGGTTCAATCCTTAGTATGGCAAGAAGAGAGGAGAGGAGAGGACAGGAGAGGGGAGGGGGGTTGCAAAGGGGGGAGGGAAGGAGAGAAGAAAGGAGGGGAGGGGGAAGGATTTATAAAACATATTGTTGATGAAATATATCAGAGCTTGTAAATATTATAATAGATACTAAATTCTAATGAGAATTACCTAATATATATATATATATATATATATATATATATATATATATTCCTGATTTATTTTATATTACATGTTTCTGATTTATTTTCTTATAGAACGAAAGTGTCTTTCTGGTCAGCATTATAAGAGAGTTGCTATAATTTTCATAGAGATAAAGGCAGCTGTAAGAATCCACACAGATGCTTATTCTGAAAAAATAGATCACTTTACTGGAGTTAGCATCATAAATTACATGTCATGATAAAATTTTAAACTCTTAGCATTAATCTTTTTATATTTTAAGAGGTTTAAGTAGAACAAAAGAATCTGTGGTCCTTTTAGAGGCATTTTGGCTGTATATGCAGTGTGGCACTTAATACCTTTTAAAAAGTATCAGCTTAATAAACACATTTCTGCAGTAGCAACAAATTGAATATTTATAGACATCTCATACTTGTCCCTGAGAGAATTTTGTGCTTCAGAATATTTGAAAAAAATCTTTTCTTTTTTTCACACTAAGATGACACGAGGAGCCCCGTGTCCACACGCAGTGCAAGTTTCTGCCATTGGTGCTGTGGTCACACTGAGCCCACTGACGATCTCCGTGGCCCGTGGCCCCGCGTTCTGGCTGGGCTCAGGGAGCAGGCTGTTGGCTGGAGGAAAGAGTTTCCTTATCACCCAGAGCTGTTTGGTCTGTGATGCTAGTGGAGCCAGACACGCTGATCTGCGCTTATCTCACTCAACAAACTCATGGGTGGCTGCCATTGGCCCACTTTGTGCAGGGCGCTGGGAGGGCTTTGGGTCAGTGGCCTGTCTGACCACACAGTCAACAGCTTCCAAAAGCAGTACAGCTCTGATTAACTTAGAAGAAGCACCTAGGAAGTGAGATTCATTCTTAATTGAGGAGAGTAAGTTCTTGCAATGTTCATGTCTTTTACCTGAGATCACTTTTACCTGTATTTTATGTTGGATCGAAACAAAGTGAGAAACGATTAGATTAGTTGCCAACTAATCAATAAAGGTATCACCTCCTGAGATACTTGCCCTTTTACCTACTGCCTAACTTGGAAACACTGATAACACAGCAGAAACATTTAGCATAGAGGCCTGGAGCAAACAGGGTTTTCCTGCCTTATCTGAGATAGGCTGTTGGGGCATTCAAGGGCACGAACTGAGTGAAGTGAGGACAACTCCGGCGCACCAGAGAGCCCCCAAGAGTGCTGCACATGCGTAGGGAGAACCCCAGAACACAGCTCAGGCGCAGCTGAGCTGGTGCTCTGCCGCTGCTTGGATTTACTTACTGTAAGTACAGGGTTCTCCGTGAGGCCGGATGTCCTCAGGGTGGCTGAAACAGGCGGAGCTGACACTGAATTCTGCAGAAATGACCTCACATCCCCGGGATCTGGAAAAGCAGCTGCGAATAGTAGACAGCACCCCAGCCAGGAGGGGGCCAGAGGCTGGAGCAGGACCATTTTCTCAAAGGTTTACCCCTCGTGGGTGTCCAGCTGGTTCCTACAAAGGCCCACTCTGCACTTGGACTTGAGTAGTTTCCCTGAGACTGGGCAGAGGAGGCTTAGATGAATTCTTAGTGGGCTAGCATTACCTTTACCCTTTGTCTTCTTTGTTTTGTCTCCATCTTGAAAATAGCTAGAGAGGAGGCCGGCGAGATAGCTCATGGGAAACATGAGACTAACTGAAAACAATTAAGCTAAATTTCTTTCAAAGTACCCTGGCAAAGGGGCTGGGGACATAGCTCTGTAGAATAAGTGCTTGCCTGGCAAGCACAAGGACTTGAGTTCAATCCCCAGTTCTGAAAAAAAAAAAAAAAAAAAAGCCTGGCAATAGTCAGTAGTTGTTGATTTGAGCCTCTACAGCTCAGCATCTTGTCCTCTGAATAGCTACTACAAAGACAACAATATGCAATGTATTAATTATTGTCACTGTCCTACTAACGTGCTTTGAAACTGTTTCATTGCTATTTTTTCTCATTAAAATGAATAAAAAATTTTAAAAGATAAAATAAAATAGTCTATAATTTTGATATAAAGTTTTGATTTATTCAGACTGATCTATCCTTTAATAGTATGAAGTTTTTTTTTTTTTAATTTTTGAAAACAAACAACAAAGCCACCATTAAAATCAGAAGTGTAACAAAGCCTTGTGTGCCATTCCTGAGCTCCACACCCCTCCCCCAGCATTCTCAGATTTGCCTAGATGTCGGGACACAATGTGAGCTCTCCTGCCTGAGGCAGCGCACTGTCCCAAAAGTTCACTCTTGTCAGTTCTGTGTAGGTGTCCTGCACTGTTGTACCGCTAACAAGCTGTAGGTGGGTCCTCTAAGATATCATGTATCCATCTCTTTAGGTGACAGGAATGTATGAGAGCTGGGTGCCCAAACTTGTGGCTGCTCTATACAAGAGGGAACCTGACTCCAATGTCATCGTGGTAGACTGGCTGTCCCGGGCCCAAGAGCATTACCCAGTGTCTGCACGCTCCACCAAGCTGGTGGGAGAAGATGTAGCCCGGTTTATCAACTGGATGGAGGTAAGGCCTGGCGAGGGAGCCCTGTGTGTCCAAAACAAAGTGTCTCCCTGGAGAGACAAAAGGACTGGCCTTTCTCCCTTTTTGCCTTAGACGTAGATCATTTCTGGGGCAATTCAAATCTTCAGGATGAGCATAGGTAGTATTTTGTAACCAAAGGCAGTGTTCTGATAAGAATGAGAAGACTACAATGCCAACAAATAATGCTTCCTTGCTCTGTCCTTTCATATTTTCAGCGAATAGATCTGCTGATACCACGAATTAAGTGGACACAGCAAACAAAAGCTTGTTGTTTTAGGACGCAGGAAAGATGGGGTGTTCAGCCAAGTCCTTCCCCACCCACTGGCTGGCACATGGTACTTGTTTCCTGCCTTGGCTTCCTGTAGAAATGCCATTTTCTCTCTGAAATGCTAACAGTGATCATTTCTTCGTTGTTTTAAGCATCCACACTTTAGTTTAGACATATATGGTCTGGCCTTGTGGATTTGGGGAGTGATGGAATTGATATAGGAGGACAATTTCTGTGAAGTCTGTAGGCTGCAAGGTGGCTGAGTTAGCTGCAGGGCTTACCCACCTTCTGAAGTTTGGCTGCCCAAAAAATACCTTTGGAAAGTTCCTCGGGGTTGGAAGGAAGCTGGTACTGTGGCTGGCCCAAATTATTTAAGCCAGATCGTTGGAGGTAAGCATAATCATGCTCATTGGACAAACCATCAAAAGACAAAAGTCCTTTTATTGCTAATCAGGTGAATGGACTTGGGAAAAATTAGATCACATCCTTAGGCCGAAGCTTCTTATCTGTTGAATGAGGAGCTCGAACCGTATGTATACATACATGCATATTGAGCTATTACATACATATTTATATGTGTGCATAATATAATTTCAGATGTATAGAAAAAGTTTAAATCAGCTATTAGAGAAAGAAAACTCTTACCACTACAAAGTATGTTTCTCTTATCTGTAATACAAAATTGAATTTGTAAAATTTATGTTAGTACCCATAGTTTAGAAAACAATATTTATATTCATTTTATTTCTTTTAGTTTTGGTCCTTAAGAACTAAGTATAAAAACTTTTCTTTTTCTTTCTGAAGGATGAATTTAATTACCCTGTGGACAATGTCCATCTCTTGGGATACAGTCTCGGAGCCCATGCTGCTGGCATTGCTGGGAGTCGGACCAACAACAAGGTCAACAGAATTACGGGTAAGTGCACACCTTTGTTCATTTTATCTCAGGAGGCCAGGGGGGTGAACAAGAATCAGAACAACGTACGTGGTGCTCTGGGCCATGTGCCTGGCACGGTGAGCTCATGGAGTAAGATGCAGATTCACTCTCTATGGGGCACATCAGGAATTAGCAGTAGAGCAGAATGAAGCACAGAACACCCATGTGTTCTCTGAGAAGTGTTTCCTTCCTACTTCTGATCTATGCCCTGGTCATGGCCTGCACATAATCTGTCACTTCTCACACCAGGACCAGGGGGTAAAAAAGGATCAACTCCCAAGGACACCTGGACAGAAGGCAGTAGTTAGGACAGTGGTGATAGATGGTTTGGCACAAAGTGAGATACATGGTAGATGACTAGACAGACAGACAGAGACCCCACCACGATCAGAAGGTTTCATTAGATTCAGAAGCAATTTACAAAAGAACATCGTCACCCCTGGGCAAAAATCACCATATCATGGCCATCTCAGAGACTCAAGTTCCATTTTAGAAGAGCCAGGGTGGGCATGGTGTCACACACCTGTAATCCTAGATGCCGGAGAAACTGAGGCAGGAGGATAACAAGTCCAAATCCAGCCTCAGCAGTTTAGTAAGTCCTATCTCAAAATCAAAAGGGCTGGGGGTATTGGTCTATAGCAAAGAGCTTGCCTAGCATGCATGAGGCCCTGAGTTCAATTCCAAGTATGGGGGAAAAAAAGACCAAGCCTACTCTTATGACTTTTTAGTACTACAATTTAAAGATCTAATTCCTATGGACTAGGAGCTTCCAAGAATCTAAAATCTAAGTGGTTGCTGCCTGCATTAAAACATTGAGCAGGAGGATGCCAACATATACCACAAATAGAAAGCAAAATTGAATCGGTCTTTAAAAAATCTGTGTTCCCCCCGCCAAGGCCTGGATCCTGCCGGACCTAACTTTGAGTACGCAGAAGCTCCAAGTCGCCTTTCTCCTGATGATGCCGAATTTGTGGATGTCTTGCACACATTCACCAGGGGGTCTCCGGGCCGAAGTATTGGAATCCAGAAACCAGTGGGGCATGTTGACATTTACCCCAATGGAGGCACTTTTCAACCAGGCTGCAACATTGGGGAAGCCATCCGCTCGATTGCAGAGAGGGGCCTTGGAGGTAAATATGACTTAGAAGTCTTTTAGACATGGTTTTGGTTCTTAATCCTGCTTGCCCTAGTGTCCTAGTGCCCTAAAGGAGTGTAATTTTAATTTACCCCATTAAGGAGGTAGGGACGCAGCTCAGTGCTGGAACACTTGCCTAGCATATGCAAGGACCTTGTTTTCATCTTCAGCACTAAAAGAAAGAGCAGGGACTATAAATATACACGTTTATACAAAATGTTTCTGAAACATTTTACTATATTCAGCATAATCACTTATTAGCCAGCAAACTTGCCTTTTGTTTATTATATTTTAGACTGTATTCAGTACTGAAAAACTTTGCTGGCCTCTGTCATAACATCATCTAATGTCACCTGGCTAAGTGTCTTCATAATTTGAATATATTTGCAATGCTCATGGTGTGAATTTGAATTTTTCTGAAAATGTAGCAGCTGTTAATTAGTCCATGTTTTTAAAAAATCCTTTTAAGCAACAGGTAAATCAGAAAGAAATCATTATTCCCTAAAATAACTCTCCCACAATTTTAGGAAGAAAAAGTAACTTAATATTAGCTTAATATTTGCTTCAATAATAATGTTAGCTTGTGGCAAATTTATGGCTTTTCAGGGCTGTTGGCAGGTGCTCCAGCCTACCTGTGGTGAGTATGCTCGGTAACTTTGTGCACCTTGCAGACTCTAGGGCTCTGTTTTTAAGTGTTAGAAATTTTATGGCAATAGGATATGCTGATTAATTTTAGAATTCATTTGACATAAAATACATTAGCAGTGGCATAGCTCTCAATTATTCATAATATGTATAATAAAACCTTATTCATCTAACAATTATGCCCTTTACAATGCGATTTCTAGCTGTAGCTTTCTAGAAACTCCTACCACTGTTAGTCATTGTCAATATAAATGAGGGACATGATAAACAGCAGGGAACACCATTCAAAAGTGATATCTGAAGTTGTGGCTTTATAAACGTACTTACAGAAGAAAAGTCAAAAGTTCCCTGAGAACTTGCAACTCCGATGATCTGGAGGTAGGTGAGCAATAGCCAATAGGAAAGCCTCCTAAAGTACTATTATAATCTTAGATGCATAAAAACAGAGCCTGGGATCATTGAAAAAGGACGCAGCTATTACGACTTCTGCAGAAGTGAATTCCCCTTTGTGTCTCTTTCCCCCAGATGTGGACCAACTAGTGAAGTGCTCCCATGAACGCTCCATTCATCTCTTCATCGACTCCCTGTTGAATGAAGAGAACCCAAGTAAGGCCTACAGGTGCAACTCCAAAGAGGCCTTCGACAAAGGGCTCTGCCTGAGCTGCAGAAAGAACCGTTGCAACAACGTGGGCTATGAGATCAACAAGGTCAGAGCCAAAAGAAGCAGCAAGATGTACCTGAAGACTCGTTCTCAGATGCCCTACAAAGGTAGGCTGGAGAAAGGACAGTCAGTGAGTCGTGTTTTTATCATGCGAAATGTACTGTGTGTGCTGATTCTGTCCACCTGAACAAAGTCAATGAAGTCACACTGCTAAATCCTGAGGCCTCAGGTGCATTTCTGTTGATCAAGAGGGAGTTGCCATAGCCTGTTCTGGTGATGTTCCTTATCCCCTCTGCCAGTCAGACTCCAGAGCTTACTTGAGATTTACTTCCTGTACAGAGCCAGCCTGTCTGTACTGGGCTCAGAGGTAATTTGGAGCCATCACCCTGAAGTCAGCAGCACACCACAGCCCTGGGGCCAAGTCCAGGCTACCACCGGCTTTTATAAATAAAGTTTCTGAGAACACGCCACTCACCTTCACTTCCATGCTGTCCAAGGCTTCTTTCATTCCACCAGCAGAGAGCTGAGTAGTTGGGACTAAGATGATATAGCTCACAGAACCTAAAATATTCACAACTCTGGCCCTATCCAGAAAGTTTGCCACTTGCTAACTTTCACTTTACAGAGGCAAAGACCTTCTGTATTTAAAAATTTAACTATTTGTGGAAGGCAAGAATATACCAAACCTGCCAAGATATATCCATCCATTTTGCCATGAATTCATTTCACACTTGAATTTCAAGCTTAACCTCTTCCTTAGAACAAGACCTAAATGTACTGAGGAGAAACTGGAGCAGAAGTAATGTGGTAAATCCTTTCAGAAAGGCTGGCTTCTGCAGAGTCCTGGTCAGAGCCTGAGGAAAGGGCAGATATTAAAGTATACTTTTCTGGAGTAAAATATCTCTGCCATCTGTGCCTGCTTGAAAGGCTTACTGTTGGACTCTGGAGGTGCATTTGGTGGCACAGAAATTGGAGCATCTGTCCTGTAGGCTGTGAAGAAGCCCTCACTTTGGCTGTGTCTTTGGAATAAGGGTGTGTGCGTGAGATATGGGGAAGGCTCGCTCTTCCCACATCCTCACACCTCTGCTCAGGACTGTCAGTGTGCCCTGTCCCTTGGGCCACCCCAGCCTCTCTGGCTGTGGCCTCTGTGCTGCCAACAAGAGCTCTGTTCAATCCTAAGCTTGACTTGGCTTTACATTTTAGTAGCTGAGGAGGTTTAGTTTTGTTTTTTCTGTTTGTTTTGACTCAGCACCTGGCTAGCTATTTTTAGTGCAAAAAAGAAATGCCAGCGATTTAGCTCAGTGGACTAAGCACCTGCTTTGGCAAATGCAGAGACCAGGGTTCGATCCCCGGTCCTGCATGTTGTACTGGCCCTGCCCACAGGACACTCTGAGTCAGTGACCGAATCCATGTTGGTGGTGCACACCTGTAATCCCAGCGCTGGGGAGGCTGAAAACAGGAGGATCATTATGAGTCTGAGTTGTGTAGTGAGACCCTGTACCAAATACATAAAAACCCGAATGCACCCAAATAACATAGAGCATATCACCAAAAGCTCACAAGACAAAACATTGAAATTTCTTTCATTAGAATAAATTTCAAAGTAGCATTAAAATATAGTTTGCCATATTATAAACCATTTCTATGAAGAAATCTGCATGACTGTCTAAAAGAAAATGCATTTAATAGGTAGCTACACAAATGTGAAAAAAAATGACTGAAAGTGACCAAAAATGTGACGCAGAAGCAAAAAGCACCAAATTTTCCCCATCCAAGTGGCCATGTTTTAGGCTACTGCCTGCCTGTCCTTGTACCATCTCCCTGGTGTGCTTTGCTCAGGGTTTGCAGTAGAGATGGAGGGAAGCACAAAGGAAAGGGAGAATTTCAGGTGCCTGGTGCCACAGGCTCCCTGCAAGCCAGAGCTCTTTAGAAGCTGGCTTCCAAGACTGTCCTCACGGAGTCACGACCTTGGTCCATGAAATGAGTTTTGCTGTGAGCCCAGGTGTGTCTTCCTGTGCTACATGGGGGAAAAGGTAGATGTGATCCTCTAACCTGTAGGAGCTGGCAGGGAAAGGAGCATGGATGTAACCATGAAATGAGGAGCAGCGTGAGTGTGGACTTAAACAGTGGCACCGTGAGAAGTGTCCAACAGGCTTGGTACAGATGCCAGGGGGCACAGCAGTCAGGGCAGGTGGCAGTCATGGAGAACGCGTTACCAGGGATTTGGACTCCTGATGTGCCGTCCCTACTCCTGCAGTCTGGGACTGCTTGGCAACTCAGCCACACTTGGCATTTCCATCCACTGCTGCCCCATCTTCCAGGGAGTCCACAGCCTGCACTTCCTGCCTGGGTGCCGATTGGATGTGTTCTGTGGGACTGGAGTGCCAGCTGCTCCGAGGACTGGGTGTTTCCATGAGGGCTAACCAGCCCATTTCTGATTTCCTCCCTCTAGTCTTCCACTACCAAGTGAAGATTCACTTTTCTGGGACTGAAAGTGGTACTCAAATCAACCAGGCCTTCGAGATCTCTCTGTATGGCACGGTGGCTGAGAGTGAGAACATCCCCTTCACCCTGTGAGTACCCTTGGGATGCACCCTGGCTGGGGTGGCCGTGGCCCTGCGTGACCATGGGGGCCATGACCTTGGGTCTGAGAAGTGGATGTGGACTTGGGCACTCAGAAAACAAGTGTTCAGTTTGAGAAATTGGAATTTCAAAACTGAGGCTTGGCTCTATTTTATATTTCAGAAAAATAGTCTTCCAATGGGTCATTTCATTTTCATTTACCATCCATTTTTCTTTTCCCATTGTTGTGGGTTTTTGTTTTTTGTTTTGGGGGGGCTTTTTTTTGTATTTTAGGGAAGGGTCTACAGGGTGCTCAGGGTCTCACTACTAGATCTGACTCATAGTGATCTGCCTGTTTACAGCCTATCAAGAGCTGGGATTATAGACATGCACCACTACATCCTGTCTCAATTACCATCTCAGTGTGCCCCGGCGGTGGGGCTGGCACAGCAGTCCTGGGGATTGAATCCCTGGCCCCTGCGTTTGCTTGCAGGAGTTTTAAACCACTAAGCTATTTGGCTGGTCCCTCTTTTTCAGTTTTATAACTGCTTATTTCTTTTGTACAAAGCAATAAAATTATGCAATTGAAATTCCTCAAGAGGTTTGGCTTTATAAGTGCCAGTAACAGGAAGTCATTACATAGATGCTAGTATGATAAGCACAGAAGGGGACTGGTGAGGTAGCTCAGCAGAATAAGCACCTGGTTAGGCAAGCGCAAGGACCGCGGTTGGATCCCTGGCACCACATACTGCACCACCCTGCTCCCCAGTGCACTGAGCCAGCCACTGAGTCCAGGCGTGGTGGCGCATGCCTGTAATCCCAGTGCTGGGGAGGCTGAAAACAGGAGGATCACTATAAGTCCAATCTGTGTAGTGAAACCCTGTAGACCCTGTACTAAATACATTAAAAAAAAAAAAAAAAAAAAAGCTGCTTGCATCCTGGGAGTTCAAACAAGATGAAAGAAGTTGATTTCCAGAATTAACTAAAATTGCCGAATTGTTACACAGGCCTGAAGTGTCCACAAACAAGACCTACTCCTTCCTGATCTACACGGAGGTGGACATCGGGGAGCTCCTGATGCTCAAGCTAAAGTGGATGAGCGACTCCTACTTCGGCTGGTCAAGCTGGTGGAGCACCCCTAGCTTCAGCATCGAAAAGATCCGAGTGAAAGCAGGGGAGACACAGAAGAAGTGAGTCAGCTGAGCGGGGCCCACTCGCTTAGACTCTGGTGGTAGTGCCCCGGGATGGTGTCGCAGGAAGCCTCGCATTCAGGTGAAGCTTTAGCCAGCCTTGCCTGCCATGCTGCGTAAGCTAGGCCATTATGCCTTCTGTGTTTGAGGGCTGTCCTTTCATCATCCTGCAGGAGAAATGAGGCAGGTTGAGGGTCACTTATTCGTGGGGCCAGCAGTGCTCTGGATTTTGGCTTGTTTCATATACTGGAGTATTTATGTTGATATAACAAGATATCTTGCGGGGGGAGCCCAAGTCTAGACATGAAATCATTGATGTCTCATGTACCCCTTACACACTAGCCTGGAGGTAGTTTCCAGGGCACCTCTATTTGCACTGTGATCCCCTCATATGTGATCGGCTGTGGCATTTTCCACTTGTACCATGTTGGTGCTTGAGGAGTTCAGATTTGGGGACTTGTTGGATTACAGAGATTTATGTTAGTCATGCTCAAGCATTAGGATATGTGCATTTCAAGCAAGAAAGTAGAAAAATAA